GGCTAAATGATTTTGTAATCCTTAAAACATATGCCTAAACCTCCAATGCTAATGTCCAATGTATATTTATATAGATAAAGGCTAGACTGTGGTTATCAAGCTTTTTTTTTTTTTTCCAATAATGCACAGTTTAAAAAATACATATTTTGGGCTGGGAATGTGGCTCAAGTGGTAACGCACCCGCCTGGCATGCGCGGGGTGCTGGGTTCGATCCTCAGCACCACATATAAATAAAATAAAGATGTTGTGTCCACTGAAAACTGAAAAATAAATATTAAAAAATTCTCTCTCTTCTCTCTCTCTCTCTCTTTAAAAATAAAAAATTTTAAATACATTTTTTTTTGTCAAAACCCAGGATAAATAAATACTTGGTTCTCTTTTCATTGTAGAAATACTCCTTGAGTACTTATTAAATGTTTCAAAATTACAGAAATAGAAGAGCACTGCTAGAATACTCAAGAGGGTTTATTAAAAACATTGTTTTTCTAAAATTGATTTTTTTCTTTTTTTAATTAAAAAGAATATTTTTTTAAAAAAGGTATTAGTAATAAAACCTCACAACTTTTATTTGCTGCTAGATTCTGATTTATTTAATCATTTGACTGATTATTGAGAGCAGAATCTTTCATTTTTATTCCTGGTGCCAGTACTGGCTAGACACTTAAATATTTGTTAGATTGTTGTTAGGTCACTTGTCTTTCCACTACGGCCAGATAAAAGCCATCCTTCTTTAAGACAATAACAACAATCAAATCTTGTTAAATTTTAGGAAAATACATGATGGAAATTGAAATTTAAATATTTTGTAAAATGTGAGGTTTAACTTTCTTCTTTCACAAAATTTAAGTATTCATTCTCTAGAAGCTAATTTTAGGTACAGCTTTTAAGATATTTTGTATCAAATATGGAGTTCTTTTATATGAATGATGTTTAAAAAAATAACTTATCTGTGTGTGTTTATAACTACTATTTAACCATTTTTGTAAAGTAATGAAAACAGATATTGTCAGTTACTCTGTATCCTTAGACTGTATCAAGAGAGTAGAATACATTTATTGCTATAATTTAGTATCTGAATTTTCTTTTATAAGAAAGAAACAAAGTAAGTTTGCTATGTCAAAAAAGCATGGCTTCATTTTTTTTCCCCTTTCCTTTCCTTGAAACTTTTAAATATTTTTAATTAGAATTTTAGAATACTTTCCACACTGCCAGGTCATTTTTTTCAAGCGTAGCTTCATTTTTACAAATTGTTACGTGAAAAGGAATATTGGTTACTTATGGTATTTTTTAAAAATATTTGTTTTAGTTGTAAATGGACTCAGTAACTTTATTATTTTTATGTGGTGCTGAGGATTGAACCCAGTGCTTCACATGTGCTAGGCAAGTGCTCTACCACTGACCCACAACCCCAGCCAACTTATGGTATTTTAATACAATAAAATTTTTATTTTTTAAAAATTTAATGCTCTGAATTACAATGAAGATACTATTTCATCTTCATTTTTAGGAGAAGGGGCATATGAAAGGGAGAAATTAATATTTAAGGGCAACATCTTGCAGAAGGACAAAAAGTAATATATGAATAAAGTTGGTTTAAATGTTCATATTCTAGGCTATAAGCACTTGTATCCACAAGGGGGCATAATTATAATGTGGACTGTGTTTGAGCCCTGAGTACCATTGATAAGCTGAAGAAACTTTATAACTTTGGGTTCTTCCTAAAGCTCACTCCTCCTGTTTCAATGTCTTCTATCAATGCTCCCACTCTATACATTCACTTTCTTTGGCTTTCTACCTTTTCTAGGTCCTTCTTCCTGGCAGAAGCCCCTTCTTTCTTCTACTTGAAAAATAATTGAGCTGTCATCATCCTTCATCCTTGAGATTTCTGTATAATTCTGAGTAGTTGACTCAGAGTTAATGCTAATTCTAAATCTAGGTGCATTTCTTAGTGTCTTCCTGTTTTAAAAATATTCTGGTTGTTTCTTCACAGGCCAAAAGGCAGCAATGCTAATTGTGTGTCCTTGGGAGGCCAAGGTCTTAACTGTCATGAAAGACCTTGGTCAGCTTTTTGTTCTAGAGAATTAGAGTCACATTCTTTCAATATTACTTACATGGTCAGTGAATTCCATGGTGTAATTTTTTTCCCATTTTACTTCATATTTCTCCTCTCAAGGGAATAGTGGCATCTTTTTGCTCTAAACTCCTAAAAGGCTTACATTCATTATTATACTCACATGTTTATGTTAATTTCTTTGTTTTGTACCATTTAAAGCCTGTTTTAGGCTACTTTATGCACAGAACTATGGAGTAAGGTAATATGAATCACCGTTCTTGCTAAGCAAATCATATTTCAAACACTTGACAAAAGCTTACTTTTCTTTTTTGTTTATACTTCCTTGAATACATGCCATTTCAATATTTCATACTACATTTTTGTATATTTTGTTAGATTACCCAACCCATTGTTTTCACTGCAGCATATATAAACCCCCTCTCAGGAATTTGTTGAAGTCTGAGAGTATAGTGGCATTATCTTACTGTGTGGTTACTCTATATGAATTTTTTTCAGGACTGATTGGATTCAAAGGTGGTAGTCACCAAATAACATTACCGTTCCTTTTTTTTTTTCCCCCTATTAACAGTTTTTGTTTTACAATGATAGTAATTTGCTTTTTCTAGGTTAGTCCCTTCTGTAGTGTACATTATTTACTATTGCAAGATGAAGTCGGTGAGCTAGAGAATAGCTAAGAGTCTTTTATAAGTTCTCTGAATTGGTTGGCTTTAAATTATCTTTCAGCACAAAAAATATAGTTCTGAGATGGAGTTTCTTTTTTTTTTTTTTAATACTTTTTTAGTTGTGGTTGGACACAGTACCTTTGTTTTATTTATTTATTTTTATGTTGTGCTGAGGATCAAACCCAGGGCCTCGCACGCGCTAGGCAAGCGTTCTACCGATGAGACACAACCCCAGCCCTTATTTTGCATTATTTTGGTAAGAAACTGTGATAAGTTAGTAGCAGCACTCTCTTGATGTACTCTTTTTTCTGAAACTTTTGTTTCAAAACTGACTTTGAGTAAATATATTTATTAATCTCTGTATAATTACTGTTTAGCCTTTGAAAAAAAAATATTTTCTCAAGTATGAACTGTGTAATTTAAAGATACAGAACTTTTCTTTGAAATTCTTTAATGTGAAAGCATGGTGGACTCACTATGATTTAATAAACATTTATTTGTGTTTACAGTAGGCAAACAACTCTTAAATAAAATTCTTTATTATTGTATTATCTGGGACTTAGACTAAGAGGACATGAATAAAAAGATGAGGGAATGTGACCTAAGTTAATAACACATCGTTTACTTTAGCTGTAAGTCATTTTTAGCTATTTTGAATTATACATACAGCACCTAGCACAGTGCCATCAACACATGAATTATACTAAGCTGTCTGTGGTTGACATAATTGTTTCTGAAAGATTTAATCACAACATCAGAAATACTGGGTATGTTTTTATTGTCCTTTGTAATTTAAACAAGAATTAACCTTTGCATCTCAGGAAACAAACATTCTAGTTGTAACTTTTAAAAACAATCTTCTAATCTTATTGGTTACTAATAGAATTTGCTATTGAGAAAATGAAGGATGATCAGTTTTATATCTGTGTTTAAAATGCAGTTCATCATTACTATTTTTGTAAGTTTTGTTAGATGACCAAACCTTTTGTTGTTAACTGCAGCACTTGTAAATATTTGAACCCTTAAATAATTTTAAGGGCTCAGTGAATATGACTTCTAAAAACATAGGCATTTAGTTAAATATATAATTCTTAAGTTCCTATGTAACTAGGAACTTAACCTTTTCTTCAGTAGACCAACAGGCAGCAATGCTAATTGTGTGTCCTTGGGAGGCTTTTAGCTCAATATCAGATGTATTTTAGTCACTTAATATTGTACATTGAAAAATTATTTTAAAAAGATACTTGGGATTGGGGACATTTATGGTAAAATTTAACCAGAAGATGGCAGTGATGATCCTCCTATACTCCCTGCAACGGTAATCACAAAGTTTTCGAAATGTCCTGGCATGAAAAGTGCACGTTCAACTGCTATTGTGTAATATTAAAAGATGACAATTTAGGGGAAAGTGTTTGCTATTTATTTTATATACTATGAAAAATGTATTTTCTATAAGAAGGGATTAAGAATATTTTGGGTGTCTGTATCTTTGTCTGTACACTTCAGTTTTTTCTGAATACTGGGGTAAGGAAGTTACCATAAGTCTTGCCTTGTTTGCATGCATCACTTTATGTTATGCATCATGTATAGAAGGCATGTTGTATTATGGCTTGTTTGCATTTTTCACCCAAATTGCTGGAAACTAATGGACATTTTAAAGGAGCCATTCCTTTAGTTGTAGTCATTTCTCTAAATTTCCCCACCCCCACCCCCCCACCTCCACTTTTTTTGTTTGAGGGAAAACGAAATAATTTGAAATATTAATTTTTGAAAGAAAAATCGTTAAACAAAAGTTAGCATTTCAAAATTTTGGAAAACCAGAGATTAAATGACTTAATGAAGCAATTTCTGGGTTTTAATTCTGATAGCAATTGTAACTAATACTTAAAATCTGGTGGTCTTGAAAATAAGAAGTTAGAAAGGGGAGAAGGAATGCTCTCCTTTGAAAATTAGTAGCCACATTTGGTGATGAATGAGATGAAGATGCATCCTTTCATAATCTTGCCTTTTAAAAATTTTCAGAATATGAAGTCCAAATGCATTTTGCCAAAGAAATTGCATGAATCTTCAGCATGCATTGTTAACGGTGTCTTTTCCCCTTTCTTTCTACTGTTCATTTTCATTCATATATTTTTGTTTTTTGGTTTGCCATTATTTTTTTCCTTTTTTGTTAATTACTTCATGTTAAATTATTTTTGAAACGTCATAAGCTGAGCAACCTCTCCGTGTAGTAACAGCGGATACCTGTCTGTTTCACTATTTAGTCCCTCCTCCTATGTCTCCATCTTCCAAGTCTGTGAGTACGCCAAGTGAAGCTGGAAGCCAAGACTCTGGAGATGGTGCCGTGGGATCTAGGTATAGTAATTTTCTTTTAATATTTTAATGATAGAACGCATTCCGTGTCCAAGTACTGTCATTTCTTTAGAGGGATCCTAAATATGAATTGAGTTAATTTTAATATGTTAAAATCTCAGCAATATAAAAATTCTGTTGTAAATTGGGGGAAATTTTTAAAATATTTTAGCTGTCTTACTTTTATACTCAATAGTTAATTGATTTTAGAAGTTATTAATTCATTTTTTTTTGTTTAAACATCATATCTGTTATTATGTGAATGTTTTGGTTATAAATAGTGTAAAACCTTGGTTATGCTTAATTCCCCATTCAGTAATGAAAAACCTAAATTAGTTAAGCAGTACAATTCTGTTTTATTAAATAACTTACTCTGCTAAGTAAGATAGAAAATGCATAAAATATGAAGAATAAGGAATAAAAACCAAGAAATTATTGAGAGAACTGTAAAATTCTATTTCATGTTTGTTTTAAGATCCCGCAAACACGTTAGGACTTGTTTTTCAAAACTTCAGTACGATTATAGCTTTCTTCCAAAGATCATGTTGAGAAAATTATTAATCCCTTCTCTCTCTCTTTCTTTCTCTCTCTCTCTCTCTCACACACACACATACACACACACACACACACAGACACACACACACACACGGTAATAGCAAATCTTTATCATATTTTTGACTTCTGTATTATAATTGAAATGAGAGTAAACATACCTAGTCAAATCCACAGCTGATTCAGAATCTTCACTTTAGCCAGGAAGTTAATTATCCTCCCTAGAATAATCGCTTACCATACCTTTTTAATAAAAATTCAGGTATTAGATATTTTACCGTTTTTGTGCCTGGGACCCTATGATTGAAGATACAAGTATTCAATAATGAGTGAAAAGAAAGAGCAAGAAAAAAGAAGCAAGGGGACTGGATGATCCATAAAGTCAATACTTAAATTAGTTCTTGAATAATCAGGTTATTAACAATTAAAAGGCACGTAAAGCTTACCACTTTGAATTTAAAATGTGCTTTCCAAAAATTGCAAATCTAGGGCTGGGGATGTGGCTCAAGCGGTAGCGCGCTCGCCTGGCATGCGTGCGGCCGGGGTTCGATCCTCAGCACCACATACAAACAAAGATGTTGTGTCCGCCAAATACTAAAAAATAAATATTAAAATTCTCTCTCTCTCTCTCCCTCTCTCTCCCTCTTTCTTAAAAAAAAAAAAAAAAATTGCAAATCTAGCATTATTGCTTTTGGAGGTAAATGCTATAACTCTTTTAAGAAAAAATCAAAACTTTCTTTTTACAAATAATATTATCTTATAAATATTATAAAAATAATTTATTTAGTTCAAATTCATTTTTTATGCTAAATTTTTTCCTTCTTCTGCATTTTTTATACAAATATTTCAGTTTTTAGGGGTTAGGGATGTAGCTAGCTCATTAGTAGAGCACTTAATTTGCATGTCAGAGTTCAATCCCACCCTAAAAATAAACATGTCAATATTCCTTTAAATAAGTAAAAAGCAACAGATATTTTGAAGTGAAGGCCTTTTTTTTCCTTCTAATACAAACATTACCATAGTAAAAATATTTCCCACAATTAAAATTTACTATATTAAATTTATTTGATAATAAACCTTATTTTTATATAGATATTATATTACAGTATGAACCCATTTTTCCTGATTTTGGATTGGAGTAAAAAGATTATTTTCACACATTGTTAGCAAAATTTACCTTCAAAAGTACTGTGTAACATCTACTTTGGTTTGAAATAGATGTGAATTAAAATGTGTCCTTCTGAGTTTCACGGACAACTTAGCGATTAATAGAGACCCTCTGAAATATTTTAAATTGGTTCAGAGAGTAAGTACTGGCAGAAAAAGCATTTGTGTATAGAACAGACATTCATCAATATTGCATTAAGTACTATAGTTTACCACTAAAACTAAAATGTTCAGGACTCTGCTCTTATAAAATATACATTCTCATGATGATTATATCATTAATTTAAAGATACTCTTCACTTTATTTAAAAGCTCTAAGGATAAGTAGTATATTAACTTATGTTTAGATTATGTATAGATTTTTTATGATTAATTATAAAAAATGAAAACAGGTAGTTTAGTATCTTCAGAGGTATTTGTTCTTATTAGAGAAAGTACAAATTTAGTTGTATTATTTGTTTCTAACAGAAAAGGAAAAAAATCTTTTTTAAAAAATAAGGTGATCTTATATCTTGTATCTTAACAGTGTCTCATTTGAGAGCACTGACTCAACTTTGAAACATTAATTTTCAAGAGCACCCAGTATATTATTTTACACATATATAACAATAGAAAACTGAATTCCACTGAAGCATCTTGAGATTCCATAATGGAGAGATAATTAATGTTGTAGATGGTGATTTTGGCAGTGAAATAATGCATTTCTAAATATGTGGCATTTAAAGAGAATACTCAGATATCAAAATTTAAAAAAAAAAAAAACAGAGTAAACTCATATTGAGCAGGAATGATGATAATGGAAGAATAAAGACAGTAAGGAAATATCACAGGAAAATGCATGAAGATGTAAAAGATGTATGTATATGTACACTCCATTAGTTGGCCAAGATGATCTAAGATTAGTAAACTCAACAGTAGGAAAAGATAGATTAGATGTTGCAAAACATATCTAAACATGTTTGAACCACCTTTTCTAAATGAATTTCTATTGGGACTGGCAGTAATTTATGAAAAAGTATAAAGGCTGTGAGAAGAGAGATTTCTCTAACTTTGCAGATTACTAAGTTGCATTTCATTAAGTTTCTTACTCACTTTCTTAGTCACTTCTGTTAGCTTTAAAATTTAGATGACAGTTATTCAGTTGGGTAATTCATGCTTGTTTTTTTTTCTATTTTTGATCAGTTTATTTTTAAGCCTTTTGGGTTATTTTGGAATTGAACTTTATATATCTGAAGATGCCTTTGATAAGTATAATCATGTATGATGTACAATGTATTTTTAGTATGGCTATATTTTGAGGTAAAGTTTTATTTAATTTTATTTATTTATTTATTTATTTACTTAAAATTTTATTTATTTTTAAATATTTTTAATTGTAGTTGGACACAATACCTTTATTTATTTATTTTTATGTGGTACTGAGGATCATATCCAGGGCCTCGTACATGCTAGGCGAGCGATTTACTGCTGAGGCACAACCCCAGCCTTCATTATTTAATTTTACATTAAAATAATATCCTGGGAGCTTAACGTTACTGATAACAGCTAGAGCTTTTGTATAATGTAAAGACTGTTGACAGAGTATGCCTTGGAGACCATTGCATAGAATCCCTTTTGATTTAACAAAGCCTAATTTTATTGTAATAAAAAGTAGGTCTTCTCTATAGTCTCTTTTTTTCATTACATACACACAACCCTATTTAAATTCCGGTATCTTTCTTTATAGTTTTTAAATGAAGATTTTCTCTAGTTTGTTTCATCTGATTGTTTTTAGTGATTAATTATATAGGCAGGTAAGGTAAAGAAATCATTTGTTGTATATTGTAGCAGCTAAAATTCATTGTGCATTATAACATGTAAGTGAGAAATATGATAATACTACATAGAGTATTGAGCTTTTTTATAGGAAGTATGAACACTATGCAGTATTGCTAACTTATAAGGATGTCAATATGATATAGTACTTTGTTCTAGTAATGACTAGATTTAGCTTAAGTGGAAAAAATCCTGTGTAAGATATTTACCTAATACTAAAACATCACTAAATACTTTGGTATTCTCCAAAAGTTGGGTAATTCTTTTGAACATAAAATATTTTTCCAAGGGAAATAATCTATTTTGTTTTTCCTAGAGACCGATACCTTTAGTTGTTTGCTAAAGTAGATGACATGTGAGCCCAAGGCAGTTCTTAACCCATAAATTATAGCAGGGTCACATTTTGGAAACTTTAGCTATTTTGTATCCCAGTGGGATAGTCTTTGGCTTTCTTACTAAAAGGATTATGTGTTGACTCATTTCCTTTACTAGTATGACAATTTCCTGCACATATTTAATGCTTTGGGCAAGATGTTTTTATTAATGTTTTTTAAATTAGGAATCTTGAAATTTTAATTTTTATAGCCTAACTTGTTCTCATCTATAAATAATGTCTTATTTGGGTTATCTGCCTTAGTTATTCTTGTCCATTGTTATGCAATGTTATTTTTTCATAATCTGAAAATAGTTTGGACTATTTTTCTTTATATGCTTGCATCTTAAACTGTATTATGCTTATTGCATGCACTACAGCATTGAGTGACACCTAATGTGGGGTTTTGTACTAACCAAAATGTGTTTTTTAATTATAAACAGTAATTTAGCTTTAGATATTCATAGAGTGTATTTGCTTGACTAACTTATGGCCTTTTTTACTAATGCTTCATGGTTGTCCTACAACCATTTAGGACGCTGCATTGGGATACAGATCCATCAGTTCTTCAGCTTCACTCAGATTCCGATTTGGGGTATTGAATAGATTTATTACCTTCCCTCTTTTATAATTAATTTTACTCTTTGTGAAACTGTCCTAATTTTATTTTGCTTAAACTTCTAATATTGTAATATATAGTTAAAACAAAAGAGTTATATTTTACTGTGACACCTCATTTATCCTGTATCATTAATGAAAGAAATACTCCGTGTATGTTGTTTTATTAAAATCTATCCATTTGGATGTCCAATTCTTCATATTATTTTTATATTTTTGTGTGAATTTTTCTAAGATGTACAAAAAACTACCTTTTTTGGATTACTTTATATGAATCTGTAGTTTTGAGAGGAACAGAAATGTTGGTGTCTACATTATGGCCCCATGCTATTCATGCATTCACAGACTCTCATTCTAGGCTTCAATGAAAATTGTAAATGTTTGCTACTGCCTTTATACGGACTCAGATAGCTCTTTTCCCTGATAATTTGCAACTTCTAAAATGTAACCATACATTTGCAAATCATATCTAAAACTAGAATAAATAAGCCTTGAATGAAGGCATATAAGAAAAATATGTGAGATTCTTGTATACTAACCAAAAGCTTCTCTATTAGGGGCCCTGAGGTATTTCGCTTTCCCCTCCTATTGCTTCTTTATTTTCAGTAAAAGTGCTTTTGGATAAGCGAGGTATTACCTTCCTTACCCTTCTCTGCCTATAAAATCTTGAAATATTTTGTTTGTTTCAATATTTTGGCTTTTGACTATTAGGCTCCATTTGCATTCAAGTTAGTAACTTGTTTGTAATACTATTGGAAAGACTTTTTTTTCCAGCTATGTGAGTGATTTACTTTTTATATGATTTGCATGTTAAAAATCAGGATATAAAGTTCTTATTTCAAACTTAATTCTTATATTCCTGTAGATTACTTCAAATATACTAAAAATTTCTCATTTAATTTTTTGAGTATGCTTTTTTTTAATCTTTAGGGCTAAGATATTTCTAAAATAGGTAACCTGTTATAAACTTCCTAATGCTTATGTCATGGACCTTACAGTAAATTTTTAAAATGTATTAATTATATAACACTCTTTTGTACAACATTTGAATTAATTATTAAATAAAATTTAAAAAGATGTTTATATATATTTAAAATCACTTATATTACCAGTGACATGTATATTTCAGATACCCCACTTGGTATTCAGGAAGTTGCAGCCATATCTTTGTTGGATATCCTTTTTAAATAGCTTCATAATTGAGAACTTCCTTGGAAGTCTTAGACATCTAATATAATAATCGAATAAAAATCCCCCATATAGCTACTGAAATATTTTTCTGTTGGTCCATTTTCTTCAGCTGTAACTCTCTTCTTCCATGTCAAAAAATAATGTATTTCCTTCATTTAAAACATAAGTGACTATATTAGTTTTATTACATTCAGAAGATCTGTTGCTTTAGGGTAGGTATAGAATATCTGGATCTTAGTTTGACCATTATGTATCAAGAACACACTGATTGTGTAGAGATTTAAAAGTTTTAAAATTTAAATTGACAGTATAAGTCCAAATTTATGTCTAATATAGGAAGTAGAAAAAGGTTTTCAACAGAAACCTTTTCTTTCAGTCATAGTCTGAATGAGATCCATATATCTGACTCTTCATAAACATCTAGAATCATATCCCTGTTAAAAATATCACTTGCAACCAGCCTTTTTCAACAATTTATTCTGAAATTCCGGTTCTCTTACTCTATTATTACCCACACATTTGCTTTACAAAATAAAATTATTTGCCTTTTAAAGTAAAAAAAAAACACCCCCAAAGAGTCGGAAGTATCTTTTGTTTTAGCTACTAATTCTTTTATTAAATGAAAGTCAATTTATTGTTCATCTAAAATTTCTTGATTAAAATGGATTGAAATTCCAATGTCAGATACACATAAATGTTCAATTCATATTTTCAAAAGTAACACAGTTTGATGTTTTTAAAATTTATCATTTGTTGTATTTAAAAATATTTATATTCATTTAATTTAGACGAGGACCTATTAAACTTGGAATGGCCAAAATTACGCAAGTTGACTTTCCTCCTCGAGAAATTGTCACATATACTAAGGAAACTCAGACTCCAGTTATGGCTCAACCCAAAGAAGGTGACTATCCTTAATATGATTGTCATTAAGACCACAAGTTAAGTAAGTGGATTTGGGTTTTTTTTTTCCTTTCTCTTATTTTTTTGTTTTGTTTTTTAGCATATTAGGGAAACATTACAGAACTAATGCTTTATGGCTTCCATATTCATAACTTTGGGGGGTTTTTTTAGAGTTTTTAACCTTATTCTAGAAGTTAACAGTATATGCTATGTATGTGTTTTTTTTTGTTGACATAAATTTCAATCTTTCGTACTCATTTTGTCATTGGCAGATCCTCCATTTTAGAAGCAGAAAATCTTTAAGAATATTCTATTCCTGTCATTTGAGTGTAATTCTTACCCAGGAAAGATTGTGTCTTATAGTAAAGGAAGTCATAAATTATCTTCTGTAAAGCTGATGTGCTGTCATTATTATTTATATTAATGTACAAATCCAGACCTCATTCTTAAACTTCATCTTTTATAATCTAAGGACTCCACTATATTACATAGTAGCCTTTAATCTGTGTGTCATTCCAGGAAGTATGCATAGACATTGTATTGAATATGGAGTCCTTTAGTTTTTAAATGACAAAGAATTGCCATTTTTTAGTTGAGAATTAATTTTAAATAGCTAATGATTTAAACAGAAAGTAACTTGCTAATCATTTTTGTAAAACCAATGAGGCTAATGAATTTATGTCTTACATAAAAAAAAACTTTCTATGAGATCTCTAATACAGCTTCATTCAGTCTCTTACCTAAAAACCTATGGGGCCATTTATGTATTAGAATTCAGAATTTTTCAGATTTTAGAAAAGTGGCAAAGTATACATACCATACATTAACACTTGTGCAGAATCTCGAGCATTAGTATCTTGGCAGCAAAAGGTAATGAATATACTGAGATAAATAATGATTAGAAATAGTTTTACCTCTGATCATCTCAGGGTTTATCACCAAATCAGTAATGGATTTTAAAGTTGGTTGCAGTTTTGGAATTGTAGATAAGGTATTGTGGACCCATAATCAATAGTCTGTGCATAAGAAAATTTTTTTTCTACTTGCCCAGGAAAATATGTTCATATTTAATTACAGAAAAACAAATCCAGAAACCATCAATGTTTTAATTAATTCATCTTTAAAATTTCAGTTAAATTACCATGTTTCTCCACTAGGGAGAAACAAAAGTAATATTCATTGCAGAAAACCAAGAAAATACAGGTAAGTGAAAAAGACGGGTAGGGAGTGGGGATGGGGAAAGTAAATATTCAATTTTCTTAATTGTGTATATCTCAAAAGAAAATTAGAGTTATTACTGTTTGCCTTTTGACTTTACAGTAGATAATCAGATATGTTTTGTTTTTGGTATTGGGGATTTAATCCAGGGGTACTTTACCACTGAGTCACATGTCCGACCCTTTTTATTTTTGATTTTGAGACAGGGTCTCACTACTAAGGTGCTGAGGCGGATCTCAAACCTGCAATTCTCCTGCCTCAGCCTCCTAACATATACAACTTTAATAACTCTCCTTTTTCTGCCCTCTAAGGATGGAAATGGAATGTATTTAAATACCATGGACATTTCCTTTCCTTGTTCCCAAAAGGAATTAAAGCCATTGATGCTAGAGATATAAGCAACTTAAAAAAAAAAAAGAAGAAGAAGAAGAAGGAGGAGGAGGAGAAGGGAGGGAGGGAGGAAGGGTTGAATTATCAGTATGGAGAATACTAAATCTGCAGGATTCCATAATTTCCAGAAAATACTATTTTATTAACTAGTCCATTAATTTGAGTATTAAGTCTGTCTTTTTGAAGCTATATTATTAGATGTATTAACTCAGAAAGTGGCAAAATTGCCAAAATGAAGGCACAGTGACTCATTTAAAAACAGATTAGACCTTTTTTCTTTTTTGGGAAATTTGAAGATTGTATCTTTAGTTATACCATCATACTTATGAAATGCCTTTTGGATGTTTGAATTGTTCAGCATTGTAAAGGTATTTTTGATAATAACTTATAACTGTAATTACATTAAATTTAAGGGATGACTTTCATTTTTTAAAATAATTTTTTCTGGGGCTGAGGCTGTAGCTCAGTGGTAAAGTACTTGCCTCACATGTATGAGGCACTAGGTTCAATCCATTGCACTACATAAAAATAAATAAAGATACTGTGTGTTCATCTACAACTAAATAAATATTTAACAACAACAAAAATTTTTTTGGTAACTAATAGTAGTAACTCTAATAGTAGTAACTATTAGTCAGAATTTAGAAAGTACTACAGAAGTGATGTAAAGGGGAAATTGTGTGGTACAATTTTGATTTATTCATTGTTGATATTTTGTTTCCAATGAATACATTCAGTTTTTTATGAATATGTTTTCAGAAATTATATATTTGTGTATGTATAGATACAACTTGGTGTCCTTGAATTTATATTTTTAATTGCTTATTTTTAGATGCTTATAATTTTAAAATGTAAACATGTAATTTATTGCCCTCGAATTAATTTTTTTTTTTTAGTTATACACAGACACAATACCTTTATTTTATTTATTTGTTTTTATGTGGTGCTGAAGATTGAACCAGTACCTCACACATGCAAGCAAAGGCTCTACTGAGCTACAACCCCAGCCCCCCTCGAATTAATTTTAATATAGAACTGGCATAATACAAGACTGACATTTTTCAAAAAAATTATTTTTCCATTTTTGTAAGTAATTTAAAAAAATAAAAAGATCATTTATTAGATAAACTGATGATCCACAAGCACAAGATAAACTGTGTTCTTTTCTGTTTGAAATTATTCACGGTGTCTTTTTAGCATCATTATACTTCAGCTTCTTTGCCAAATTTTCCATGAGCATAGGGACTATTTCTTCCTTACTGTGATACTTGACCTGAATAGTGTGTGGCATGTAGTAAATACTCAATAAATACTTGCTTAAGAAATAAATTGCTGTTACCTACTCAGGAGAATGATTTTGCCTATTTGGGATGTTTCTTTTCATACTTTTACTCTGGAAGCAGCTACTAGAAAAATCAGGTTTTTTTGAGTATTAATGCTATAACATAATTATTGATGAAATTTGGATAAAGACTATGATTTGTCTCAGGTTTTAATATGACTGTAGACTAATCGTTATTTGCTCTTCTGTCCAGAAATGAAACCATTGGATTCTCCTTTATAGCCTTCTTGAATTCCATGTTTTTATCAACACAGTAGTTTGTATCACATATTTATCACTGGGTTGATATAAACATGTGCTGTTACTTTATGTTTTCTGTATCCCTCTGAATACCATGAACAAAACTGAACTTGTCAGCATCTTTTAAATAAATCATTCAAGTTATTCATTTATAACTGTTCTCCAAACTTAATGTTTAAATTGATGACTGAAAATTATTAACGGCAAAGAGTGCTCACTACATATGAGGCATGGTATGAGCCACTTTATGTTATCCCTCGTCCTTTCATCAAAACTCTGAAAGTGAAGTTGGTTTTTATTTACACTCAAAGAAGCTGAAAGAGGTAATTCATCAAGTGTCACCTAGCCAGTAGCTATGATTCTAAAGCAAGTCTAATGGATTGATTCTAAGATATGCTTTTTCTCATGCCATGAAGAAGCAACTTTTATGCTTTTATGATAGTGAACTACAGTAATTACTTCAAGTTGTATTATAATCCAGTATAAACAGCTATAGTACATTCCTTTCTCTTATTATATTTAATTTTTTTAAAATGTTGACCATAACATGCTTAATTTATTGGTTTAAATCTTTAATTTGAAAAAAACTTCATTAAAGGAGAGCATGGTTTGGTTAGCTTGTTTATTGATATTTCTGCATCAGGATAATATTTTTAGTGATAGTCTCAGACAGAGCAGTGAATAAGCATCTTTGATCTTCCCCAGTGCTGAATAGAATATTTCTTACCTTCACTGATAGGAAGTGAAAATGATGAGATGGGTGAAACTGAGCCCAGTTTTGTTGTTGATTTTGTTTTGTGGTGTGAGGATTGAACCCAGGGCCTCATACACACTAAGCAAGTCCTGTACCACTGAGTCACATTCTCAGCCCATGAGCCCAGTTTCTAAGGGGAATGTCCATTCAGCACCATTACTTTTTCAGTTTTCTTACGTAGACTAAACTTAGATGTTGATTTTATAAGAGTTCATGTTTGCTTATTTCTAATCTAGCAAGTATCCATTGATTCTGAATTTATCGATTTTATGTTCTCTGTATGTAAAAGCACTAGATTATCTTTTCTTTGATTTTTTTTTTTTTTTTTGGCTGGGGGAGAAGGGGTACTGGGGATTGAACTCAGGGGCACTCAACCTCTGAGCCACATCCCTAGGCCTATTTTTTTGTATTTTATTTAGAGACAGGGTTTCACCAAGTTGCATAGTGCCTCGCTGTTGCTGAGGCTGACTTTGAACTTGCGATCCTCAGCCTCCCGAGCCACTGGGATAACACAGTCAGCTTCTTCTTTGATTTTGTAGTCTTTTCAGTTATAAGTTAAGGTATATAAGTGAATGAGAATGAAAATTGTATTCTAATACTAAGAAACCATCCTTAGCCTTTGAAACTACTTAATTCTTTCCTTTCTATATCATTACAGTTAATTTAATGTCTGGGGCTCTTATATGAACTTTCTTTTGCCAAGTTGTAGAAGTTATAGAAAGAGGAAGACCTTGAAATTAAGATTTTATAAAGCAAGACTGGGGATGTAGTTCAGTGGTAGAGGGCTTGCCTAGCCTGCACAAAGGCCCTAAATTTGGTCTTCTACTGCCCACCCCTAAGAAAAAAGAAATTATAATGCTATAAGGTATACACTTTGTGCTTAAATGTACCCATTGCTTTGATACAGTAGCTCTCAAACTCAGCATAGTTGATTCTCACTTTAGAATTATGTAACAGATCTGGGTGTGTATTTCAGTGATCGAGTGATTACCTAACATGGATGCAGCCCTGGGTTTGATCTTCAGCACTGCCAAAAAAATTTTTTTTTAATTATGTA